AATTTAATTTTTTTATTTTACATATCCTAGCTCTAGAGTATAGAGGCAGTTTTTGTTTTTCTGAATAAAATAAATTATTTTTATTTAAAAAATAACACTCTTATCGCTTTCAAAAAACGGAAAGAAAAGTTAAAAACGGCAAAAGCAAATATTACAACATCCAAATATATATTTTTTGATTTTTGGAAGGAGAAGAAGCGAAATTTTTTCCTAGAAATATATGAAAATAGCAGACAGACAATTTCCAATAATTTCGCAACCACTTAAAAGATAAAAAAAAAACATATTTTGCTTCAACTTGTAACCGGTGAAAATATTAAATAACAAATTAATTATACACTAACGCGATTTCACCCAGACATAATACATATTTAAAACTAAAACTATGCTGCGGAAGATTTAATATCTAACCAAGCTCAAGCACCTGTTACTGAACTCCACAGCTAATTCCGCCAGCTACTCATTCTCGCAAAATCCGAACCATATATTTAAATCGGCATTTAATCTTTAATCTGCACAAAGAAAATAATACGCGCAAACATATAGATTGCTACCTGCCAACGCTGGCAACAACAAAACCAATGGCCACTACACCTTCGCAGCGCGCAGAAAGTTTAGCGAAGCCGAGCGTCAATGGTTAATTAAAAGCCAGCGTCTTTGCGCCGAAGTAGCTTATTACCGATGCGCGAATGCCATCCAGCCGCCGCGCTCGACAATTAATGAACCGGACAGTGAGTGAGTCGCACAAGTGGCGCGTACAGCAAAAGCATGCGACAGCGGCCGCGCACAAACACATGCAGAGCGCGCTTGTAAAGCGCTGAGATGATCATTAAGTGTGGATTGAAACTGGTTCTTTACAATTTTTTAATAGAAGACGCAATATAATAAGCACATAGAGACAGCGCGCAGGTAATTGATCAAAATTCCGCGCTAAGCCCGCATTAAAAACGCGTCCCAACCGGTTTCGGTGTAATAAAAAGCTAACATAAAAATTAATAAACATAAAATTCTGCAGCAAACAATTAAGAAATATTTTAATGCCACTCTAAACTTAGCTAATTCTTTATACGCTGGTTGGCTACAGCGCGCTTACCACACAAACACGCGCAGCACACCTGCGGCGCGCGTTGCCTTTCACACACACAATCGCTGCTGAGTGATGGTAACTACCTACCTTGTTGTTGTTGCGCAGTATCACAGCATTTTGTGCGGCATTGTTGCGGTTCCGCACCAAGACATTCCGGCAGTCATCACAGAGATAATTGTTGTTGTCATAGCCGTTAGTGTCGCCATCACAGCTGAGAACGCCGCCACCTCCACTGCCACCACCCACTTCTTCCACATTCAAATTCAATTGTAGATTCTTTGCAAACGCTTTGCTGCCACCATTGCAGCTCGGCTTATTGTTTTCCTTGTTGTTGTGTTGTTGCGCGCTGCGTTCCGTTTCACTTTGTGACGTTGAATTGTCGTCAATAAAACGCAAATCGCCACCGCCAACATCATTAAGCGGACTTGCGCCGTGCCGCAACGCGCAGATTGGCATGCTATTCGCGCTCGCCGTATGAGCATCGCCGCCGCACTCCTCATCCTCGTTCAGCACGTTGTCCAAACTATTCGAGCGTTGTTTGACGCGCTCACGTTGCGGTCGCCGCGCTACCACCTCACCGCGCTCGTTCAACAACAATTCGACGGGACGCGTTATCACCATGGTATTTTGGATGGTCGTGGTCACAGAGCGTGTAAATTCCGAGCGTTTCGTCAGCAGCAGCGTGTTCGGTTCGTCGCAAGGCGTGTGCGTCACTTCAACATTGCGTCGGACTTCTTTCTCCACGGTGCGTTGACTGCTCAACGTGATGGGCGCCGTCGTGGTGAGGCCCTCATAAATGGGATTGTCGGTGAGCGCGAGTATACGGTGGCTGGCCATGCTGATGTAGGGTGTTTCTTTTGCCGGTGACTTGGCTTTCGTCTTTGGCGTTGTTATTGGTGTTGTTGGCTTTGTTTTCACGTGCGCCGGCGTTGTATCGGCACGTTTCCGCATTTGCGGCGTTTCGGGACGTGACGACGTCGCATACTTGCTGCTGCAGCAACAACGTGAACACAATTGCGACACACGTTTGCCACTCACCAAGGCGCGCTTGTCATCACTTGTGGCATCTTCATCGTCCTGCAGATTGTCGATGGATGCGCTTGCGCTGGGCAAATAACATTGGCCCACCTTCTTATCACCGAGCTCCACTTGCGGCACATAGAAGGTGCTGTTGGCGCTGAGATCGATGCAGCTGCGTTGAAAATGCTTGTCGCCGCCGGTTTGCAATGCAGCGGCTTTCTTGTTCTTCGGCTGTCGACGTAGCGAAGAGAACCAGTTTGTGATGCTTGGCCGCTTCTGGTGTTGGTATTGCTGTAGGGAAGCCATGCTGGTGCACACACAATATCAACTGTTGCAGCACTGCGCGCGATGTTGTGTGTGTTTCGAGTTATAATTTTCTCGTTAATTTGTTGCACTTCTTTTCCTGCCTGCGTTGTTGTTTTTTTTTTTATTTTGTTGCACTTTTTTATTATTGTTTTTTGTTTTATCGAGTTCTTGCTTTGTACATGAATTGACTTCCTTTGTAACTTTTCCACTTTTTATTGTTGTTTTATAAATTTTTACGATTTCAACGTAATCACTTTGCCACTTGTTGTCTGATTGCAAGCACATGCAGCCTTTATGGGCATAACTATGTATGTACTTATCAAAAACCAGTTCCTGCGGCTCATTACACGTCGGTATTATTGTGGCTTCTCCTGCTGCCGGTTTCAACTGTTGTATCGGAAAAAAAAAATGGTTACATTTGATATTTTAGGAATGCAAGCAAGCATTCAACAGCAATCAAGTGCATCTGCGCGCCAACATACATACAAATCGACACAGTATATAAAATATATTGTTCACAGAAAGTCCGCAGAAATCGTTTGTTGAAGGCCGAAGATGGAATGCCGCCTTTCTACGCACAAAAAAGAGTTAACACACAAAAAAAAAAACACTTGAGCCCGAACAACGATACATCGATCACTTGAGCGCTTATGTTCTCATCTCACTTAAGAAAGTTACAATCTTTATATAATTTATTTAATAATAAATACGTTCAAGGTTTTCTTTCGATAGGATCATTGGCTCTGGGATATATTAAAGTAAAAGAGTAATAGGGTATTCAAGAATGAGACCACGTCCAGCATGCTGTGAAAAAATATAGTATCCATAGCTAAGAGTGGACACGAAGACCGAGTCGATTTGGCGCCGTTCCCAGCAAGTCACACTGACAGATGGAACAACTTGGCGCATCCTACGACCAGAATCTTAAACTGAAAACGTGGAAAGTACAGGTTGAGCAAAACTGAAGCCGCTTGACCTACTAAAGCGACATCGCTTCACTCTATGGACTCTTGAAAAGTTCCAAAAAGTTCTGACGTTTTCGAGCCAAATTTTGTTCAGCGATGAAGCACACTTCTGGTCCAATGGATATGTAAACAAGCAAAATTGCCGCATCTGGGACGAATAGCAACCTTAAGAGATTCAAGAGCTGCCATTTCATCCAGAAAACTGAACGATTTTGTGTAGTTTGATGGAATCATCAGTCCATATTGCTTCAAAAATGATGAGGGTGAGAACGAAACCGTCAATGGTTACCGTTATCGCACCATGATACCCAACTATTTGATGCCTGAAATTGAAGCTCGCGATCTCGGCAACATTTGGTTTCAACAAGACGACGTCACTTCTCACACATCCCATCAATCAATGGATTTATTGAGAAGACTAGAGAATGTTGTTTCGAATGATAATAAACCTTTTCCATTAAATTTTAAGTTTCCGTGTTTTTTCTTTTAAAAAGTAGGGAACCTCGAAATGGATAACCTTTTATAAATATGCATATGCCAAACTAAGGCTTTTGCAAAAGCTTCTGTACTTTACCAAACTACATATTTTAGAAAGCAATTATAAGCTTTAGCAGATAACGGTTTTAACAGTGAAGCTTTTGGACTTTGGCAATTTTGACTTTATAGCTAAGGGTAGCTGACCAAGATATTACAAAAATCCCTTTCTTATCATTTCTTGTAAAATTTTCTTGTTTCTTATGTAAAAACTGGAAGAGCTATGACGATTTTTAATATATACAACATTTTATACGATTAAAAGCCTTTTGAAAACCAATTCAAAGTAATTTAATATTTTTGCTCAAAAGCTTTCAAAAATCTCTCTTTATTATTGGCTGGAGTTAGAAAACTATGCCGAGTGAATAAAAGGCACTATGTCTTTTTGACTTTTTAGCTCTAAAATTTTACAAAAACCAAAAGCTCTCTTTCAACCACTTTTTTGCTCAAAAGCTTTCAAAAAGCTCTCTTATGTATCTTATCTTATTATATTATTATGACTGATTTGGGGTTTTTAACAGATAAGACAATGGATTTTACAAAATTAAATGTCGTTTTAACACTAATTTCTAAAAGAATGCAAGGTAATTTGACGTTCTAGCTTAAAAGCTTTCAAAAAGCTCTCAGTCTTATTGGCTGGAGTTAGAAAACTATGCCGAGTGAATAAAAAGCACTATGTCATTTTGACTTTTTAGCTCTAAAATTTTGCAAAAACCAAAAGCTCTCTTTCAACCACTCTCTTTGAACAAAAAAAAAAAACCAATAAGCACAGTAAAAATTTGGGTTTTAACAGATAATACAATGGATTTTGTACAATTAAAAATCGTTTGAAAACCAACTGGTAAAGAAATCAAAGTAATTTGAGCTTTTTAGCTTAAAAGATTCAAGAAAGCTCCCACTTTTACACTGTAAAAGCTATACTGAGCATTGCTCAGCGGTAAAATAAGAGAATTTATGGCCAAACTATATGATTTTAAGTTGATATTATGACAGTTTTTCAACGCACAGAAGTTAGTGGGGAATTTAAGACAAGCTTTTAGAGTTCAACCACATGAAAACTGAAACTTTTTGACCGTTAACAAGCAGCAAATCTTGTATAAGGGCCATTTGGATTTCTATACGCACTCACTTTCACTTCAGTCAGTCTTCAGTTTATATATAACATATTTGAACTATAGTTTTTTCTTTTTCAGTAAAACACGCAATTTGATTGATTGAAGTACTTTACAACTCAATATTAACAAATTTTCCAACTAAAAAATCACTTCGAAAACGCACGTCTAAAATTAATGTTCAACACTTTAAACGTCACAAACTCAACTGAGCGATTTATATTTCGAGCTAACTCGCACAACACTTTACGGCAAATAAGCAATTTGCAATATTTTAAAATCAAATTGAAAGTAAACTCAACTACAACAAAAACAACAACAATAAACAAACAAACGTTGGCTTTCAAGCATCCGGTAGTTAGTAGTTACATTATAATGATCTCTTGGCACAACAATTAGACTGAGACGCCGCCACAAATAAGTTGACTAAAAGGATTGCATGCGCACCAAGAACCCGAACTAAGATACAGTACCCATTTGAACTATAACAACAATACACACTAATGACTTTGACTGCCATTAAGTAGACGTTGGACGTCAAAGACATTGCGGCAATAAAGATTCAAAGTTACGAGTACACACACGCATACGAATAGCGCTAATTTATGTAACTTGGCAGCAAAGAAAGGCGCACAAAGAAGCGATGAAAAAAGGATAAAGGAGCGGACGAAGTGCGATGTAGGCACCAGTGTGTAGGGAGTTGGGCTACATGGCGCATAAATTACAAAATGCTAAATGTGGTAGCCTCAATTTAAAATAGACGAAGCGGAAATAAAGAACTGCAAGCCAAGTGCCTAAATGCCTGGACGCGGAACAACAACCAATTTTGTGGCAAACACACGGACATACAGCAGTATAAAGTCACATAAACTGGTATAAAGGTGGATAAGTAATTGGTATAAAGTCGGATAAGTATAAGATATAAGGTCGCATAAACTTATCAACTTTTTTGGAGTCGCGTAAACTGGTACAAACTCGAATAAACCGATGGGGAACCGTATAAATATACTGGTTTGAGTAAAAAGGCATAAGAACGATTTAGTGGCAAACACACGCGCATACACCGCTATAAAGTCGTATAAACTGGTATAAAGTCAGTTAAGTGATTGGTATAAATTTTCATTAACTGGTATAAAAGCGCATAAATTGTTGCGGTCGCGGATAAATACTTTGTATGGAGTCACATAAACTGGTATAAACTGGAGTAAACCGTTGTAAAATCGTATAAATCTATTTGTTTGAGAAAGAAAAACATAAGACAGATTTCCGAACACATTGCCAGCAGCAGGAATCACATTTTATAGCACTTTTAACGCGCTTATCAAGCCGTTAGGCGACCCGTACACACATTTTATGAGACATTCTAAATGGTAGCGTCTTTTATGCTCATTTTGTTATGAAATTTACAATACTAACGTGAACACAACAACCAAAACTATATTTGCACTTGAGAACACCTCCGCATACGATCACACTGCCGACTGAATGTGGTGGCACTATTATTATGTTTATTATTATATGAAATTTACCAAAAACGTCGAGCACTATAGCGGAGACAATAAGACTTGAAAAGGTAATGGCGTCAGACGAGTTTTGTTTTGAGAATGTCGGATTCATGAATAGAATGCTACGCTATGTGGCTAGGCTATACAATCGTAATACAATACAAACTCATATCTAGATACGTATGCAATAACAACACACGACTGATAGTGGCGGCAGGTAGTAGCGCCGATAAAATTGTCTATAGAAGCTACAAAATACTCAATCAAATGAAATCACAACACACCCTCCTGCAGCGCCGTTGTACGCGTAGACATGCCGAACCGATAGTAGACAAACATGGCATAATATAAACAGGTAGCGGCTACCTGTTTGCTGTAAACAAAGTGAAAAAAAAAAACAATTTATTTGAGAAATGCAAAGGTCGTTGGAAGAGAATGAACTCTCAAGACAAATAGGCGGCGAGTCACACGGTAGACACTTAGTGAGTGAATAAAAACAAAATGAGGAAATATTAGTGTCAGTCTTGAAGATTTGAATGTCAATTAAAGGGTATAATAGGATACTATTTTCCGGTGTATAGCTTAAAGTAGAGCGATTACATATATCGTGCATATGTAGTATGTGAAAAATAAAACATTTTTTTTTTAGTTTTCTTCTTTACTTCCGCAAAAATTTCTTAAAACGGAAGCAAAGACTTAGCGAAGACGCACACTAAATACATATTTGGATTGTAATGAAAGTCGTATTATGAAATCATCTGGGAATGAAAGCAGAAATCAACACGATGGCCGAAATGTTATAGTTGGCTTATAAAATATGCAATTATCTTTTTTATTATACGACCCGGAAAGGAATATAATAAAATTCATCACAACTTAGCGAAGTCAAACACCCAAATAGGCGTACGAAATACCTAAATGACTATACATTGTCCTCTAATAAAAGTAGTCACCTTTTCTGATGGCTTCCAAAATAAAGTACCTGACCTTTTAGTCGCCGATAAAAAAAATTACATGAAAACTAAGCTAAATCAATTTCTAAGCTCTTCATTCTACTTGTGGTGTGTTTCTTGGATACCATACGAAAATTGTGAATCTCTAAAAATGTTAAGTAACAGCGGAATAAAATCAGGCTTCAAAGTTTATGAACTCATATGAGGTAGTTTTCGATAAAATTGAAACATATTTGGCCTCTTTTAATACTTTTTTTTAAAGAAATATGCAGTAGAAAACTCAAATGAAGTCAAAATTGGGAGTCGTAGACAATACTT